CCCCAAAACCCCAAAACCCCAAAACCCCAAAACCCCATTTAAGTTAAAAAATATTGAAAATAATTTCCTAAATATGTATCAGAGGAAAAAGCAGATTTTTAACAGACAGAACGTTATAGGAGGTATGCAATCCTTCCTTAAAATATGCCATTATTTTTAAGAGTCGTTTGGACTTATTATATTAACACTTCTGTGTGCATCCTTACTCCAAACCTCTGTCAGACAAGAACAGGGAAAGTATAAATAGGTATCTGTTGTAGTTAGGACGAACAACTCGCAGAAATCTGGGATCTAAAACTCTTTCTGAGGAGTTTATATATCATTCTGGATCCTTAAATGTCTAATTTTATCTCCTAAATTTCTCCCAACAAGTAGATAGCTTTTACCAGGAATATAGCTGCTCCAAAAATGAGGAAAGTGTTTAACAAAAGCAAGAATGAGAAACCCTTAATGGCCTCAATTTCACTCATAGATGGTAAGAATTTGCAGATTTATGTACCTCTGGCTGAATAATCACCGGTTTCAAGAATCTTAATTTTCTGATAATTTTTAGAGGGTTTCTCTGTCGAATTAGTTGTCATCTCTCTTAATTCACCTAATCTTTTTGGATATAGAAGGGTCGATCCAGAGTCCAAGACATAATGTTTATACGCCTTCTAAGCGATCGAAGTATGATAGGTCACCTTATAAGCCTAAGAATACATTAGCAGTAGTAGAATGGTTGGTTAATAATTTTAGAACAGGAATATACAAACACATAGGAAAGAGAAAAGCAAGGACTTCTGGGAGACCCCTATTCATTTTGACTCACAAGAGATCACTAATGTGTCTCAATCTAGAAGACCCTTTTTAAGAAAATAATTTAAGCGTATTAGCAGAACTGACTGGGATATTTAAGAAAAACTCTATTTTTAGGATTTCGCAGAATAAAGAGATAGGTAAGATACCTTAAACATCTTGTGTAGATAATGAACCCAAAACAGTCAGGAATAAAATATGAGTGAATCGGATCTCTTCAGATAATAACTTTACTTCAATGTGTAATGGCTATGTTCCTAAAATGACCGTCCAGCTGACCACCAACAATGGAAAGACAGCATTCAGGAACAAAGATAGCTGTGTCAAGTCTATTTATAAGAAAAGGAAGAATAACAGATTAAACTCAAGCCAAGAATTTAAGAATCTTTCAAAGTTGATTCCATCAAGCAGTGGTTCCCTATACTCAGACATGAAGGATAGAATAGATAGGTCGAATAGCCGTGTCAAAGTGCTCATGAATGAGAATCAGAAGTAGGTTCACCTTCTAAACTTTAGACTGAATACCATCCTCAGTCAGGGATCTGACAGACAAGATCAGTATGTAAGTGAAGAAATTGAGAAATTGACCAAAGAAATGCTCTTTTGGAAGCAAAAATATGATGAGGCTGATAAACTCCTTCTAGTGAAGGATAAAAAGATCCAAGAACTTTCTGGTAAGCTCCAACATCTTGAGAAAGATCTTGTGAGTTATCAAGAGGAGGCCAAATCTAAGGAAGCAATAGCAAAGAAAGGGCTGGAAATAGCTAAGAATGAATCTGCATTGTAAGCTCTTATTTTGTTAACCTCTGTAGTTTGAAGCAGGAGCTTGAGAAAGCCAATCAGAAGTGTTCTATCTCACAAAATGATAAGCAGCTGAACGATACTCAGACAGAATCTTATAAGCTTAAGATTGCAAATCTGGAAGGGAAATTAGAGGCAAAAGACAAGGCTTATAATGATATTAAACAGCAGATTAAAGATATGAAGTTTGAACTTGAAAGATTAAGGATACATAAAACATCTCATATAGCTTCAATGCCACTAGATTCTGCTAACTTAATTTCAAAGAACATTTATGAATCTCCAATATCTAAAATAAAATCACTCAGTGATATTACAAAACCGCTGTTGGGCTTGGACAGCTCTCAAGTTCCTACAAATGAGACTTGCTTCCTTTCTAGTGAGGAGCCTAAAGTTACATCAAACATTGATCTGGCATCATCTCCAACTTTAGCAAATCTGGGATATACCCCATCTATGACTCATGAGAACTATGGAAGCAGCTCTGTAGGAGCTGCTTTGTCTTGGGGTTCTAAGCCTCAAACGGCTGCTCAACTTGATCGCACTCAGAGCCCACCTAAGAGTAAATTCAGTCTTATCCTTTAGATCAAAAGTTTTCTTCCAGACATGAAGAACTTCAATTCAACTTAGCAGAAGAGCAAAGACTTCTCAGCTTAATCCGAGATCCCCCTCTACAATATAGAAAAAGAGCAAAACAACAAAAACTAAACGAAACCCTCAAAAAAGTCCAAAGAAAAGTCTATGAACTAAGCTTCGAAATTAAAAGATTAACCTAAAATTCAACTTCCCAACCTCAAATTGGGGTTTTGGGGTTTTGGGGTTTTGGGGTTTTGGGG